AACCCACATATGTAATTTATATCATGGCAAAATTCAACACAAAAGGTCTATTGTTTTTGGCAAAATAACCTGCAAACATGCTTAATTAGGATGCAAACTGAAAGCACAGTTTAAAACTGTTGAAAGCCATGAGCTTGAGAGTGATTTCTGCTGTTATTATTATTTAAGTTATGAAACATATGAAAAGCAGTAAATATGAAAGTAGAAGACAAAGTTAGTAAAGTCATGTAACATTTTAATCTTAGGATTCTCATTTTGCATGTCAACATCCAAATAATATGCTCTGAACATCTCCAACTTGGAAAAGAAATGAAAAAATTGTTTTTGCAGTGTATGCTTACTCTCATGGATATTTGGAAAAGATCTCAACTTTTAAGTTAATATCTGTTCCAGTGGGCTTTACTTTGAGAAGTGATGGCCTCTTTCTGGGAAGAAGGGATAATTCTTTAAATGACATTCCATTCCTTTTACTGTGGGATGTAAATGAATGCCTCCCTGAGATGAATTCCACAGTCAGTTAATATCCAAAGCAGCCTTTTCCCTATTGTAGTCACTTATTTACCATTCAACAGGTAAAGCTAGATCCTAAAAATAAATCTGAGAGAATACAACACAAGTCACCGTTTTCAAACTGGTAATGCCCAGTTCTTCTAGAACTGTGTCTTGTAATTATTTCCATGGATTACAGACTAAGGCTATGAAACGAGAGGTTACAGGTCTGAATGAGGCAGAAGAGAAAGCTGATTATATTATTTGGATATCCTAACTGTTCCATTTATTGAAATTTTGGTCACCATTTTTAAGAGACAATTTGACAACACACAAGGTAAAAATATATCGTGAAAGCGTCACATGGCACATTGGAGTGAGTTCTAGCTTCTTGTTCTTCCTCTGACCTTGCTCAATGGCCTCAGATAAATGATTTCAGTAACTTTTGACACTAGATCTTAACTTTCCACTTGGTTTCCTTATCTGAAAGTGGCATTACTGGGGTGAGGAACAGGCAAAATCACAGAATCTACAAAACATTTTTAATAATGTCAACAAAGGTGAGGATATTTCTGTGATAATTTGAAACATGTATCTACCAGAGCCCAAAGGGTTAAAGTTACAAACTTCAAGGCTGAAGATTTGCATGAGTTATCGAGGTTTACTGTTTCAAGTTCTTATTTTACCTCTGTAGCTATAGCCTTAGAGTTAACTAAAATGTGAAAAAGTAGGTTAGATACTCTATTTGATGAAGTTCTGTTAAGTTTTTCACTGATTTATTTCCTGTTATGAAATTAGCACATATTTATTGTAAAAGCTTCCAACAACTCAGCATAGTCTAAGCAAAACGTACTTTACCTCTATTCTTCCTCTCCCTCCCCCAACACTTCCCCATTTCCACTCCCCAGGGGTAATCATTGTGGAGAGCTTCCTATAAAATCAAGTACATCGAAAAGAGAAAACATTGCAAGACAATTTATGGATTTCAAAAGATAATAGATTAAAGAAAAGCCTAGAATTACCCCATGCCAGTCAGAGATGGTGAAATCTCAAATTGCACCTGAAACAGCACAATGACCAAATGCTGGGAGAAGAAACAGAAACAATAACCCTGTAAACAAACTGTCCAAAGTGTTAGACTAGATACAGCCTACAGCCCAGAAGGAATAAAGCCTTCAAGGAACACACGTCCCCTTCATGGTTAACAACTTGATGACATTCTTCAACATGTTTAAATGATTATCATACCTTCTCCTTCACTATGGATTGATTTATTATGGTTGAAATTTAAAGAATACTGGTTTTCCAGTTGAATCAATCTTGGATTACAGAACACATAAAATCAATGACTTTGTTCTAGGCAAGAAAAAACAGTGTTCTTTTAAGTACAAAAGGAACAGTCCTGGGGAAATTTTTTTATGCCACTCTACATGCTGCTTTTACCACTTCCCTTCCTTCTCACTTCTACAGCACCTTAACATTCACAAGCAATTTCATAAATTATTTGTATAAATCCTCAATAAAATTTTGTCAGGTAGAAAGAAGAATCTTAGTTTTATAAATTACAGATTTTTAAAAGAGGAAGCTCAGAAAACCCAGTAATGGGTATTCTTGCCCCGGGATATTGCTGAGTTTTAAATGTCTATATACAACTCAGCTTTCTCAAGTTCTAGGACCCACATCTGATCATTGACTTTACATCTGTACTTTGCAGCTCCATGCCAGTTAAATTCAGTTTCCAGGCTAAGCCCATAACCGCATTCTCCCATAAACTTGTTTCTCTTTCTATGGTTTTCTTTTTCAATGAATGGCACTATTATCATTTTAGTTGTTCAAGGCAAAACCTGGGCATCAACTCTACCCCTGCATTATCTCAAAATGCATATTTAAACCATAACTACATCCTACAGATTTAGCCTTCTGAATTTCTCATATCTGCCACTTCTCCTTGTCTCCACCATGAAGATTATGGAGTAAGACTGTAACAGGGTGGTCCCTAGGAAAGGGGGAGGTTCCAGGTTTCCTGCCCCACCCAAGGGAGGGTGGAGCTGAGCAGGGAGAGAAGAGGCTGCAGAGGAGAATGAGGAAGCAGGATGGAGCCAGAAGGAGACCTGGAGGAGGCACATGGAGCAGAGAGACATGTGGAGAAACTGTGCTTGCCTTTTGGTCGAGACTGGTTGACACAGATGTGGGTGAGACCCGTGGGGAGGTGACAATGGTGGTTTTTGCCTTGATTTTGGTTTTGCTCTTTTCCTTCCAGACTCTTCTGGTGGTTTCTGATCCTTTTCTGTGGGTCCCCACTGGAAGGTACTTTAGACTTGTGGCAGGCTTTGGGGCCTTGCTCTGGGCCAATCCTGCTTGGGTGGACTTTTACCCATGAGGGGACAGGTAACTTTGGGTGTTTGATTTAGAAACTATATTCTTTGCCTTTCCTGTATTGTTTCCTAATTGTATTAGAGTTCCTTCCCATTAAAGTCTCATATGTTTTGTGTTGATGTGGCGGATGGTAGAACCTATTTAGAGCAGGCAGGTTTTCGGGGTCTGGGCTGCCCCTCTCCCTGCCCTGTAACAAGACCAGGCATCTCTCATTTAAAGCATTTCTGTGTTACACTCTGCCTCTCCCTCTCCACCCTTTCTCCATACTCCTCTGCACCCCTTCCCTACACTGAAGACAGAGTGATCAGGTAATTCGTCTGCTTAAAATCTTAGGCTGGTTTCCCAGACTCTTTAGATAAAGATAAGAATTCTTAGTGTGACCTATAAGGGCCAGTAGGATCTAACTTCTAGAAAGGGCACCTACTGGACAATCACAGAATTCACACTAGCAAACCATGCACTTCTATTCAGTGATGAGATTTCCAAGTAGATTGAAGCCTGGTTAACAAATTTGACCTTTGTGAGTGAAGCAATGTCAGCCGATAGATAATGTGGAACATGCCTCAGATCTAGCTGTTACTTGAGGATTATGGGGGGTAGCTGAGCACAGGTGGGCACAACCAAATTCACTCAAGAGTCTGGTGACAGGCATATTAGAAATACTTTTGTGATTTATAAAACGCTCTTCAAAATTTTTGTACTAAGCAAAATAAAGAACTCAACCTCTGGGAAACTTTTTGCTTGTGAGCAATATTCCCCCAATTGGTATACTTCCAGGATTGCAATTCCCATTGCAAGCAGGCAGTGTGAAGGCAGGAAACTGTGATGCTATAGTCTGAAAGGTGCTCATTTTAAAGTATGTCATTTGTGGAACTGGAGGGGATTATGCTAAGTGAAATAAATCAGAAGAAGAAGACACATACTGGATGATTTCACCCACATGTGGAATATAGAGAAATAAAAAAAAGGAACAGATAAAACCAAACCAAATCAATCCCTGGAATTATGACTGAAGAAATAAGTCTGAGAGAGGATGAGGGTGGGTGGGAGCAGGAACAAAGGGAGGAAGGGCCCACTGGTTTCTAGTAAAAGACTATGGGTGCTTTGGTGGTGGGTGTGGTGTGATCATACGCATTTGAGGAAGTGTGAGCCTTCTTCCTCAAATCATATACTGCATTGTAAACCAATGTTATCTCAAAAATTAAAAAAAAAAACACACACAAGTGTCCTCATTTTTCCTAAAAAAAAAGTACATCATGTACTTTTATCTTGTAGAAGTTTGAAAAACTGCTGGCATCTGTAAGTTAACATTTAAAATAATAAGCATGTAATATTGCTATTATTTTGCATCAAGAGCAAATGTTCCAGTAAGAGTTGATTTATATATACCCTATAAAATATATAAAGGTGAATTTAAAAATTAATGCCTGGGCCTCCCCTGGTGGCTCAGGCAGTTGAGCGCCACGCTGTGAAGCTGTCTGCAGCCTCGGCAGCGCCGGTTCGATCCCAGCCTGCGAGGGTCCCACATTGCGCAGTGGACATCTCCTGGAGCGCCTGCTGTTCCCCTCAGCAGTGTATTTTGTTAGTCTGCCTATTCTGTTCCCCGCTCTGTCTCTGATGAATCCTCTTACCCTACTGCGCATCTTGCATAAAATAAATAAATAAATCTTTAAAAAAAATTAATGCCTTGGTAAAATTTAAATTTTAGGCTGAACTCAAATTCTCCCTTGAGTTCTAAATTTATTTAGACTATAAATTTTTCAACTTTTTAAAGAAAGTTATACTTTGGGGAAAAAACTAAGTAATAACACAGTTTCTAGAAATTCCCAGTAGGGATAAATGGGATGCAGTGAGGTGTGATGACACATTCGTCAAGTAGGTGGATTTTGTTGTCAGATTTGAGTTCAAGTCTTCGCCTTTCTCTTCATTATGTTACCTTGGACAAATTTACTTGCTCTTTCTAAGCTTCCATTTCTGAATTTAAAATAGGAATAACACTCAATGTAAAGGGCTGAGGTGAGGATCAAATTAGATGAGTTTATCACAATGACTGGGACATGATAAACACTCCACAAATGTAGCTATCATCAGCAATAGGGTTTTTCCTCCAGAATTTTAATCTATTACATAGTTACCTTATTGACAGGGATAATGTTTTTGACATTGTGGTAGAAGCCAAAATAAACCATGTTGAAAACTCCATGACGTCCCAAAGTTGCTGTAAATCCTTTGTTGAGGCCCTGGAGTCCGAAGCCTTCCTTCTTGATGATGTGTCTTGCATAACTCATAGTAGATGGTTGCTGCAGGAGAGAGAAGCAAAGCCAGAAAGACCTTCTTTGGGACCATGAAATAGAGTAAATTACCAGCCTAGCCTCTCTTTCAGCCAAAATTATTAGGAACTTTTTCCCCCCCAAAACATGAATAATCATGCTTAGTGCTTTTTGAAATTAGGAAATGCAAAAGTAAACAAAATGGCATGCATAACAATAGGCCTTTAAGGGAAGATTGTTAACAAAGAAGAAACATCTTAGGTGGAATTAGTAAAATGTAATGTTATGTAATAACGATCACCATTGTCAGCATGTAAATAGTTGTATCCAGTTCTGGATTATCTGAACTAACGGAGGGATTAGTCGCATAGATACACTACAATCCATAACTGTGCATAATCCAAAAGGAATTTTTTGGCTCCTGAATCCAACATGTTTACTTTTCCAATTATGTTTTTCTAGAGCAAATGTTGCAATTAGCCTTGATTTCATTGCTTCAATTATTTAAACAGGCTTTAGGTTAGAAATCAGCCATGGATAAAGCAGTTGATAGGAGACTTCCTCAAGAGGTTGGGCCATCAGCGTGCTTACCACTTACTGTGCTAAATGGCCAATCAATGGTGTGGGGAGTGCTGGGTTACCTTTAATTTACTCCTTGCCAGTCCTCTGATTGATAACATAAGGTTAAAATTCCTTGACTGCTGAAATCTAGTCTGGCTACTTTCGGATCTTGCTAAAGAGCTCACTTTAGTTTGCCCTGAGGTTTACAATTCAATGCAATACAATTACAACAATTCAGGTGAATTTTTAAAAAGGTTGAGTGATTGCTTCCTTTTGGGAGGTATAGCACAAATCTCACAAAGGATATCTCTCCCTCCTAAATTTTTGACTGAATAATAAAGAGGGGGAAATGTTAAGTATTTCTTTTCCGTTTTTTTGCCTAAGGGGCAAGCACTGACATGATATCTGATATTTCACTAGAGCAGGTTGCTGGAGTGGTCATGGCAGCCTGATGTACTTTCTGACAAAGTGTTCTTATCATGTGCAATTAAGACTGCCTCAGCAAAACAGAATAGAACAAATCCAATCAAAGTCTTTTCATTCAACTTGTATTTATAGTACTGTAATTAACAGGATACATATAAATGAGCTTGTTTATATAGTAAATCCTAGAGTTTTTGCTGATAAATGTTTCTAAAACTCTGCCTACAATGCTATACTCAAAGTCATCTTTTTCATTTGAGAGGATTAATTGCAATAAATTACAGTAAGCTTAAGGAAACCCTTTTTTGTTACATGAAAAGAACACCTGAAAATATATCTTAAAACAAGAAAAGACATTTTGTATAGAAAATCCAAAAATTTTCAGAAGATTAAAGTGCTTGCTTTTTAGTACAAAATGGGATTTTGGCATATGGACTATCAACCCAGATCATTTATTTTGGTTTTCTAAAGTGATTTGAGGGCAAGTTGAGCAGAAGTTCATTTCTGTTGGGGAGACCCTGGAAGTACTGAGCAAGTCTAGGTGCTGTTCTCCTGCTCCAAGGAAGGCAGCCTAAGGGGCAGGGGATGGAGACGAGGCAGATGGAAAGAACAGGGCAGAGGCAGAAGTGAGACCACCGGAACAGACTGACCAATGCTGGAGCACGCCGGTCAGGTCCAAAATTTCTCTCCATTCTTACCTACTTTGAGATCCCAATGGCAGGAGGAATAGGGAACTCAGACGCCATCAGATTCTAGAACAATGGATGATCCAATGACTGAATGAAAGTACAAACTAACATGACTTTCTTTAATAAAACAGGGAGAAAGATGTTTGTGTTGTTTAAAAATCCTAGAATGCTGAATCATCAGAATTAAAAGAGGAGATTTCGAAATCTTGATGAGGATTAATAAATATTCAAACAACATTTACTGGTAGTCTGATCCCCTGATTTTCATTGGTCTGTGTGTTGCATGGGTACGGAGAAGCAAGACATAAATTTTGAATTCAAGTGCCTTGTTGAGTTTGACTTGTAGGTGTGAATAATTAAGTAAACTCACATAGAAGGCAGAAAAATGAGAAATAGGGGTGGGAATCAGCCCCAGGTTTGAGTCTCAGCAATAACTACTTATTAGTTTAGGTAAAAATTATATGTTCTGATTTAAGCTCACTTTGCTATTCTGCAAAAAATAAGGATAATAGTAGAATCTTCCTCATAGGATTGTTGTGATGATAAATTAGTCAAAGAATTTATTCCTTTGTAAGCATTCACTATACATTGTTAACAATAATGGCAATTACTCTGATAATAATACAAATAGAATAATAAAATAACAGATTAGTTGAAGGCAGTGATGATCAAAAGGTGGAAGCTGATCTGAGGGAGAGGAATGACATGGAGAGGAAGGAACTATCAATAGCTTCTTCCTTCTTATTTCTTCTTTCCTTTTCCCAGAGCTGAGGACCCTTGCAATCAAGGCCACCAGAGACAAATCCAGGAGGCAAGATCACAGGTCATCTTTGTGGGGTAAGGTAAAAAATCAGGCTTTTCTGCCCTCCCACCATCAGGATAGATGAGGGAAACTTGTGATCCTGAATGCATGCCTGATGGCGGGCACCTGAAGTGGGTACACCTGCGCTAAGACTGTGCTTTTAAGGGCAGCATCATGGGGACGCCAGAAGAAGCCGAAAGAGAAGCCGAGAGAGAAGCAGCAGAAGCCGAAGAGAAACCAAGAACGAACAGAAGCCGGGAGAGAAGCAGAGAAGGCCGGAGAGCCCAGATAGAGTGAAGACTTGCTGGGGGCTGGAAGGCCTGCCATCCTCCCGGCCCCCCAGCACCCCTGCCTGCCATATGCCTGGTGAACCCCAATAAAAGACCTGCAAAAAACCACTGAGGACTCTGACTCCTCCTTTACCCGGTCTGCATGGGATCAGAAAATCTGCACTGTGTCCATGTCCTGCCCTTTACAATCTTCCTCTGAGGCCCAATCAAATCCAACCCTGGGGCTAGAAACCTCCTTTCTGGGATAGTTCCAGGTCTTCCATCTCTGGAACACCAGATCCTTAAATTGGCTTCTTTGTTATCCCTTGGTAAGCATCCTAGGTAAGAACGCTCCACTTGACACGTCTATGGGCTGTAAAAGTAAAGCCACAGGGGTGCAAAAGCTGGAACAGAAAAGCACTGTCTGGCCTCTACCTCACATGTTTTACAGTCTGGAGAGCAATTTCATGTATGTTACCAGACACCTGGATCACAGTAAGTGCTCAGCACCCTCAGTCACTGTCACAGCGGCTTGACCTTACCTATATTGTCTAATTTAATCCTCTTAGTAAGTGTGTGAGACAGGTGTTATCACTACCCCATTTGACTGAAAAGGATACTCAAGTCATTTGGTCAAGATCGCAGAGTAAGTGGTGGTGCCTGAGCTCAAACTGATGCCCTCTGGGCATCCCCGTCTGAAGTTTCATACTTTGCCTGGTTCTGCAGAAGCTTTTTCTTTCTTTATTTAATTTTTTAAAGATTTATTTATTTATACAAGCAGTGGGTACAGTCAGAAGCGCGGGAGGGTGAGAGAATTCACCAGAGCCAGAGCGGGGAGCAGAGCAGGCAGAAGGACCGAAGTACACTGCTGAGGGGAGCAGCGGGCGGCAGAAGAGGTCTAGCGCGCCATGCAGGACCCTCCTCCGGTGGCCGGGGAGCAGCCGGGGATCTAACCGGCGCCGCAGAGGCCGCGGGCAGCTTCGCAACCCAGTCCTCAACCGCTGCACCACCGGGGAGGCCCTGCAGAAGCATTTCTGATTGCTTCTCTCAACAGCTCTGCAAGGTAGGTACCAGGGATAGTCTCCTTATTTTGCAAGTGAGGAAGCCAAGGATTGTTAAATTATATTCCGATACATAATGCAACTGTATTTTCTTGGCAATTTGGGACCTTGAATAAAGAAAATCCTGTACTCTAATTCCCATAAAAATAAGAATGCTTTTTGCTTCACTCAGCAACATCATATCACACACATGTAAGCAAATATTTAATTAGAAAGGCAAAATGACTTCCACTAGGATGCTTAAATAGGAAAATATAGAATCATTTTTGACTAGATCTCTGTAAACACAAGGAATTTTACTAAACTTATTTGATTACTAGGTTTCCATTTCAAAACAAAATGGTGACTGATTAGCATCATCAGCCAAATGATTCCAATACTATCCAATCCAGCAGCTCACCCACCAGTTCGGTTTCCTTCCAATATTTAGATTCACTCCAATTTTCATATTTAGTTACCGATTGTGAGCCAAATTGCATTCTATCGTCTCTAGATGTACCTTTCACTGACTGCACCAGAGCTGCCAGCATGGAAGAATAAGTGGATTGGAATGTAGTTAATATTGTGATAGCACACTGCTCTCCACAGTGGTTTATAGATATCTTCAGTTCACTCATACCTGCCAGAAATATTCTCATTTGAAGTAACTCAAAGATTCTTTAGCTTTGATTTCAGCTATTGCCAACTGCTAATTCTGGGACAGCCCTGCTCTTGCATGCATTCATTTATTCAACAGATACCTTCAAGTTACCAATGCATTGGAATAAGTGTTCAGCATAATACTTTGCTCATATTCTAGAAACTTCACACATATTTTTGCTTTGATTTTTATTTAGTGAACTATGCTGATACTTTTTATAGTTGCCTATTAGAATACATATTCATGTTATGATGGTTACACAATATGGAATAAAATTTATCTTTTAAAGGTCCTTAGGAGTTAGTTAATACAGAAGATCCTTTGCCTACATTACTCTGGGGGACTGATTCCTCACTCTCTGAGAACCCAGATGACTATGGCAATCTGAGCTATTTTTTCTGGAATTCTTCCATCCAACTATTGACTGTAGCTGGTTCTGAGTATCTTGTGAAATCACAGACAGAAGTTTTAGGCAGCAGGCATTGTCCCTTGGGTAAATAGCTATCAGAGAATATGGCCAATAGGTTCGGGCATGGGGTCTGTGTCAGTGGATTTCTTCCATCTCTGAGGTCAGAGGAGAATTCT